CCAAGCTCGGCTTTATTAAGCACCATTGTTCAGTTGGAGTACAGAACGCCCAATCTTGGTGAATTCACACAGCTGAAGATGAGGATGACGCGGGCCGTCCCTGACTATTCCTCCATTAGTTGGTGTAACTTTTCTTCCCTGGCCAGTGTTCTACAGTTGTAGGAACAAACGGTGAGGGAAGTCCGGGTCGGTTCACCAGATGGCGGATTTCACCTGGGATTTTTAACAGCCTATCGCCACAGTGAAACAGGTCGATACACACGCGCAGGGCACTGAAGCCCATTTATTCGTGCTGTCAGAGCGAATGAGGTTTTGCCACCCGTTGGCAGTGCTGACGGTAGCCTCGCGCTGAAAGTAATTTCAAGGATTATGTTCGTAATCAGCGTACTTACTACACAAGGAATATGCCAAATTACGTGACTCCTGCACGACCTGATTCCACGGCGAATTGCGCCGCATTTGTCCTCGTTGCTTAGGGTGCCATTTAAGCAGGCCAGGCCACGGCTACGTGGCAACGCAGCACCTGCAGTGCCAGATATCGAGCAACATGTAGTGCCTACGCGGTGAACGACACATGTACCACAGCTAGGTAGAACCAGCCCTCGAAACATCGCTCGTGATGAACGCGAGTCAGCTGTAGCGGATAATCTGATGCGCGATGCATCTGACACTGTAGTTGCTGAAACTCCATCGAGCCGTAGCCAGCTTAAACAGCTTCCCTAGGAAACTAGGAGCAACAAGGCGGAGCAGTATGCCGAGAAATTTGGTCTTGCATGAGTCATGAGTTCGTTACGTTAAGTTACATAAAATAAACAAATTCATATCCGTTTGAAGTAGTTAGATACGAGTGTCGCCATGTTATAAGCAAGCAGGTGACTATAAGCTACTGAAGCGATGCAGCTGTGGATCAGTCGCTCAAAAACTACGGATTCATCAGGTGATGTCGCCTCGCTGTCACTGCACGACGAACTCCACACCGAGATAAGCTCACGTTTACCCCTGCCTTCTAAGCACAACTTTTAGTACTCATTTTAACCCTCATGGCTACTCTAGCGGCAAAATGGAGTACAATGCATTTGACTCTGGTGTTGTTTCTAACGCTTGTCGCTGCCAGCAATGACGACCGTCAAAAGAGTTCAAATTTACTAGGAACTAAACGATTATGTTTACCGCTGAACAGCATCTATCTGAGAAGACATACATCTTGATCTATACGATCCGGGCAGAGGATGAGCAACGTTTGGATTAGAATTTACTTAACTCTGGCATACGGTCCCTTCACTGGTCATTTACCGTTCATAATGACCTGAAGGTGAGACCAGATTTACGAAAACCTTTTAAATTCCATTACCGCTCATATGATAGGAAAGCAAATGTCCAATTTATTGCGTTTTAGCTATCAACGTTACGCAAATCCTACTTGACAATGGTAAGAGGACAATCACGATGGTGCAGTCGGTCGACGAAAAAGAGGAAGCAGACAAAATGAGCCATGCGGCGTTTCAAATGAAGTTTTTTTTTCAAATAATAATCGATACGATTTATTTGACTCATCTAGTAATTTTTAGCAATACCAGCTACTGCAAAACTAGCCTTTTCTTATTGGTCTGCATCGACCCATCCAAATGCAAATTCAAGGAAAGTTTAGCATCGAAAGAACAGCAAGTTAGAAGCAGGAAATGAAATGTAGCATCATTTCCTGACAATGATTTGGTGAGAATCGAACACGCTTCGAACTGCCACGGATCGGCTTAATAAAACACAGTTTCATCACAAAGACTAACAACTCTCTAATGAACATAAATGAAATGAATTTCCAGAAGCATAGAATAAATTGCATTTCTGAAACTTCCTTGCAAATTCATCTCACTAAGTCATAAAAACAATAATAATTGAAGGAAGAATCATTAAGCAACCTTTACTCACTTATTAGACTTGAAACTTAACAAATCATTACCTTCAAATGTGCAATATTTTTCTCTCACTTGAGGTGTTTGCACTCTCTCAATAAATCGTTTATTGGAGTCTGTCAAGATTTACCTTTCCTTAAGCAGACCACTGTCCAGACTGACAATATTATTTCTGGTTTTCAATAGCATCTGGCGAAAGCTAATGACTCAGAAGACTGAAAGAAACACATTATCATCCTAATTTCCAGTTCAAAATTCAGTCAATTGCACCGAATAATCACCCTTTGGCCTGTGATAGCGAAGGTGTCCCCACATACCACCCTTGGAAGTCTGAAGTTCCGTTTGTCTAGGATGACGACGACAGAAGAACAACAACGTTTTAATTGGTGCTTCAACGGAGTGCTGTTCGATCCAGACCGCGTCTTGTACTTGAAGATCATCTGGACGTCCAGATACATTAAAAAAATGGCGAAGCGACACGATGCCTTGTTCCTACTGGTTGTAGTGAAAACTAAACTTTGTTTTTTTCACTAAGTATTATAATTATACACAGAATAGTCATTTACATTCAACGCTGCTAAAATACACTTAGACCTTGTTGTCGTTGTGAAGTGTTTCTTTAGTTTGACATTTCATTATTGAATTGTGATGTTTATGCTTCTGCCCGTTCTAGTTCTACACTCGTATTTACACAGCTTCTTTAAAAACGTCCCGTTTCCATTTACACTGAACAACAAAACTGCTGACATCTTACTGGAGCAGTAAAATAAAAATTTTCGTCACGTGTGACCAATCTGGACCTATGGTCACGCTGAGAGAACCGCCCTTAAGGAAGAAGAGAAGAATTGTGCGTGTCTTCCGGAACGCAAGTGCCCCTCCGAGCCGGCCGAGTCGCTGTCGCATGACTGACTGCACCGATTGCTACTGGTGTTTGCTATTTTAACCAGCCACTTTACTCACAGACAGCTGAACAGCTGACGGACGACCAGCGAATGAATGAATGAATGAAAGTAGCTGGGAGGGCCGGTCGGTAGGTCCGAGGCAGAGACGACAAATGCGGAAGCTGGCTGACAAGGCGGACGATCGTCGCCGAAGATCTCTTCATCGACCAGCTAAGCTGTACGAATGCGCTCGAGCGTCTCTTGCCATCGTTGCCTACCACAGTGGTCAACAACATACTGATCATCGTGACTGGCCGTTTACGTGGAACGAGTAAAACATTCTGCAACACCTCAAAATATGCAAAAAACATCACCGCGTGGAAGAGAGAACTAGCTAATGAGTCGACGATCAGACTGCACAAGGTCACCGTACTCGTTTCGACCGACCCTCGAGCCTCGCGACACAAGAACGACGCTGCTTCTATACATGAAGGTCTTTAAACACGCGACGACTTTAGATAAATATTTATTATACACGTTTATAGTTAGTGACAACCATAGTTTAGACGTCCACATTATTAAGCAAGCAAAGGGGGTATGTGTTCCGACATGCAACACGACAAACCAGATCTTTATGATATCCGAAGTATACATTAAGAATGCAACGTCCGTCCCAAAGGAATAGACTAACAAATGATGCATAACAAAGGAAAATTAATAGTTTAAAAAATTTAATTTAAAGTTACGGAGTTTACGGAACGACGTGTTTTGCGAGAAAGGTATCGCTGTACGCAACATCCTTTATAGAGAACGCCTAATCACAGACAGTCAATTTAAAGACTGTGTTCTTCATCGAATGACCTCTAAGGGTTGTCACAATACCGAAAATAAAATCGAAATAAAACGAAAAGTCCGATGAAAATTTATCTGAACGAACATACAACGGAATGAAACGTGGATAAGTACAGCATTCTGCGATTGTGCAACATGCAACTGAGAACAGCAACGTGAAGATCTTAAGCCGAGGCATCTGCACTGCTGGTGTTACAACACCAGAATTTACATCATCAATGTATGTGGTGCTGTCTGTCACGATCATCATCAACCCTATTCGATCAAGTGCTGGATGAAGGCCTCTCAAAGACTTTGCCACAAATGCCTGTTTTCTGCCATTTTTATCAATATTTATCGATCGAACCTCCTTAACTCATCTTGTCATCGAACTTGAGGTGTTAATGCGTATAGTCTACTCTCTCGTGGAACCAAGTTCAGTGTCTCTTTGGTCAGCCATGGTCACTCTTTTTGCAACGTGCCCTACCCATTGTACTTCAACTTATTCACTTGTGCAATGCCATTACAGACTTCTGATTGTACCTGTAATCGGCTGCGTCCTGCGCCAACAAGAAAATAAGTTTTAAAAATTAGCGCTCAGTGGTAACCATATCCTACGCATTTTAGTTTAAAAATCTAACGTTTACCTTAGTAATCAGTTCGACTAATATTTTTATTATCTTTGGAGATTCTTTTGTTCAGGATAGAAATACATATTTAAGTCCATGGCTATTTAGGACGATAAATTTTAATGACAGCATTTCGACTGAATACCGCCAGTCCTCAACAGGTTGAACACTGGCAACAGAACTGTTAAGAGTATAGTATAATTTTAACATTTTCCTCTGTTTTTCTTTCTCTTCCTTTTTATTCCGCCTTTTCTTCATTTTCCATGGAATTTTCTTCATTTTGCATGGTTTTTACTTTCACTCGTTTTACTTCATTTTGGTGTATTATTTTTTTAAACTTTTCACCAGTTTTGGGTTGGAACAAAAAAGAAACTGAAACAGATCTATACAGAAGTTACGTCAGAGTCTGCGTGACTAACCAGGGTGCTTTTCAGATTAAGCTTCACTTAAGCTTCAAGTCCAATCGCATGTACCATTCCTAAACAACGCTGAACTTATTTTTTGTGAACCGTCTGTTTGTTAATATGCATTAAAAATCATATCGTATGACCTGAAACGTCGGACAAACTTCATGTAACATATTTATGTGGACAAACCCTTTATTCCCTATAGTGCCTGACTGTCTTTTACTATACTGACTACAGTACCTTCCCTGCTTGCTTGAAGAACGCCGTTTCGGGTGGTAACGCTTATATTTTTTCTCAGGCTTTAAACTACATTTGCTATTCACTACTACCTGCATCAATCTTTGAAATGATCAGGTGAATTGCAGCCAGAGGAGGCACTCGCAACAGACAGCTAGGTCGCGCTTCTTGAGTATTCAGGTGAGAACATACCAGGACACAATTCTCTCCCTGCTGTTCAGTGATCAGTGATTTGCTACCCATCTTTCTTTGCCGGCTGCACCGTAGAAACTTGGAATAAATTCAATGACCAACCGAATTAACGGTTAAGAAAGATTTTGTTCTTGTTTGAGATTCGAGTCCGACACCTTCGGAGTACACCTCTCACCTGCGACTGTGACTTTAGGCCTAAAGTAACAACGAGGTAAATCTACGCTTGCTGAAATCACCAAAGCAGCACAAGCAAGCTCTGATAACGGTAAGCGCAACAGATCAGTCTACAGGCCGTAGCAAATGTGATCACCGTAAAATCCACCAAAAATATGACTGTCTGAGGGATCACAAGCGCATTCTTCCTAAGCATGATTTGTAAACATGTATAAGTGTCAAAATAAGGTTTCAAAATTAGCGGGCATAATTATCAATTAATTTTCAGTACCGCTGCTGCACGTTAAAGCAGGTTTTTCACTGTGCCTTTTTTTATGTAGCTTCGTGCAAAACACCGTCCAATCCCGGTAACGCTATATCCATAAGTATGGTATGAAGCGCGATAGGCTATAATTTTTTCGTGACTGGTAGAGTAGCAATGACGTCATTAATGTTTAGGTAATAATCCCTTCCATTTCCCATACATCGTTCTCATCTTGCCATGGTTTATCCCAAGATCTCGTTGTTTTTAAACTACGCTGTCATCGAAACAAGACGCTGGACTGTTTCATTCGATAATTATTAATTTATTTAGGGTATAGAAGTATGTCTTATCGTATGGTCGATATGACCTTAACCCATAATGGTAACCTCTACCATTGCCTCGTTAACGAACCGTGTTGCCAAAGTCAGCGACTGGTTCTCACCGGGAACGCAACTTCCTGAGAAAAGAACTGTCTGCCGTTCGCCCTTGCATGTAATCCAATGTGTTGATCACAGTCCATCTCCGTATGGACAAGAGTCTAAATCTGGAAGATTCCAGATTTTCCAAATCAACGAGGTCGCTAAGACTAGCTGTTCTCTTTGCAGACCGCCCTCACCTCGTCCACCATCGCCGTCAATCTCAGCTGTTCGTATGACTGAGAGCGTAAGGCATTAAGCAAGAGCGAAATCGAAGTTCTGCTTTTGAAGAAAAACGGTTGTCAGTCAAGCTGCTTTGCCCACTCGAGAAACGTGATGCATAGACCAGATGCTCAGACAGGATCGTTTAGGTGGGTCCTCAGTTTTTACAAGACCATGGAGTCATAAACGCCGCCTGTGACGGCCAACGCTACTACGACCGCACTGACTGCAGCCGTCCAGCGGGGTTTCCACCGACTCCGTCCGGCCGTACTCGAGCAACGTTCGCATTCTACTGAATGTTTTATGCCCCTCCTTCAAGTGCACGAACTTCGGCTCAGACGTCATAAGCAGGCCACTGCGTTCGACTTTTGCTATCTCAATTGTCGTCGGTTTCAATCAAAGACTCAAAAGTTTATTCTTTCTATTTTCTTCGCCATGCTTGCCTTCAACAAA